AGAAAGCAGTCCCCGGGACTGCTCTGGGACTGCTTTGTGTCAGGTTGGGTCTGGTCGGTACTGTAACTATGTACATAGTTATGATGAGCAAGAGTGCCTCTACCAAAATTGTGAATTTTATGGCCCCAGGGTCAGGGGTTCTGGTGTTAGGGCGGGGCTCTATTGATTATGTAGTGAAAATACATGAATTCTTTGAAAATCTTCTTCTCTGCTCCTAGATTTTATATAATTTAACTAAGTACATAGTTATGATGAGCAAGAGTGCCACAACCAAAATTGTGAATTTTATGACCCCAGGGTCAGGGGTTCTGGTTTTAGGGCGTGGCTCTATTGATTATATAGTGAAAATACATGAATTCTTTGAAAATCTTCTTCTCTGCTCCTAGGTTTTATATAAACTAACTAAGTACATAGTTATGATGAGCAAGAGTGCCACTACCAAAATTGTGAATTTTATGGCCCCAGGGTCAGGGGTTCTGGTGTCAGGGTGGTGCTCTGTTGATTATATAGAGGAAATACATGAATTCTTTGAAAATCTTCTTCTTTACTCCTGGGTATTAAATAAACTAACTAAGTACATAGTTATGATCAGCAAAAGTGCCTCTGCCAAAATTGTGAATTTTATGGCCCCAGGGTCGGGGATTCTGGTGTTAGGGCGGGGCTGTATTGATTATACATGTATAGTGAAAAAACATTAAATCTTTGAATATTTTCTTCTTTTCTCCTAGGTTTTAAGCAGATGAATTACCTATATAGTTATGAGCAATCCCTAATCTTCAAGAATTGTAAATTTCAAGGCCCCAGGGTCAGTTGTACCATAGTGGGGGAGGGGGGGGGGAGGCTGTACTTATGTACTGAAAATGAATGAATTGTTTGAAATGTGCTCCTTGGTATTAATCAAATATTTTTGAAAAGCAAGTATGCCTTTCCAAAAATAGTGCAATGTGTGGATCTAGGCCTAAGAGTCAAGGGTTCATGTGTGGTAGCGGCACTACTGATTATTGCTGAATATTACTGATTAGTTGAAATGCATTTTTTGTTCCCCTACCCTGCCTATGGGTATAAAGTAACCAAACTAAGGAACTGCTAAGTGTATATTTATGATGACCAAATTGTAAATGCTATAGCACCTGGCTTAAAACATGGATCAAATTCAGTCACTGGGAAGTTGTTGAATAATGCTCAGGTGACCTATAAGGCCCAGGGGCCTCTTGTTTAAGTATTATTTTGAGTCTCGATCTCGGTTTAGTAACTGAGGGATCCATTATCAGGAGAGAACACGTTATAAAAGCATTTGTAAGTTTTCCAGTATGGGACGCACTCACATGGTAGGAGATTTTAATGCGAGATGTGGGACAATTGATGACTTCATTAAGCATGATGTATTAGATAACTCGATGAGCAAGATTTTACAAAATTTTGTAGATTAGGAGGCAGACAATAATTTAACTGAAAGGTGTAATACAGACAATACTGTTAATAATTTTGGTAGAAGTTTACGAACAACAGGTTTACGCACTGTCAGTGGTAGGCACACAAATGATTTAAATTCTAACCGTTCACCCCATGATGCTGTGGGGTGAATGGTATGAGTACAAGAGATTATCAAACCTTTAACTCGAGTTTAGATTTTAATTTTGACAAATTTAACCCTTTTTTCCGATCATACCCCTATAACTTTTATTTTGAAAACATGAAGTGTCTCTAATTAGGTAATTATGATGGAGTATATACGAGTCCTGAGATAACAGGAAGAGTAGTTTGTAAATGAGTTAATTAAGTGGATAGATGATAGTAATAATAATGTAGATAATTACAGGATAAGAGTATGTGCTCATGACTTAAATATTGAAAGAGGAAGATGTAATGACACACGTAGGAATCTTAGACAAGAAGCCCACGGGCCTTATAGGTCACCTGAGTATCAAAGTAACAACTTTTTAATTTGGTTAGTGTTTTAAACCAGAGGCCATAAAATTCATAATTTTGAAAGAGACACCATTGCTTATCATAATTATACACTTAGCATGCTTACTCTAGTTACTAAAAACTCAGAGTGAGACCAGAGTAACAAAGAGAAAATACACTTCCACTTTATAACCAGTTGTGCACTTTACCCCACAGGAACCACTGATCCTGGGGCCCCATATTTCAAAATTTTGGAAATTTTATCATAAATTTTATTTCATTATAAATGATTTATTAATACCAAAGAGCAGATTTCAAAGCATTAATTTATTTTCAGACTATGTAATCCCCTCCCCATGATATCCCTGACCCAGGGGGCATGAAATTAACCATTTTGCTAGATGCACCTTTCTCCGACATAAATATATAAACCTAGATCATTGGCATAATACCCAGGAGCAAAGGAAGAGATTTCAAAAGAATTAATGTATATTCACTATATAATCAAACGATCCCCCCTCTCTTACACCAGACCCCCTGACCCCGGGGCCATGAAATTCACAATTTTGGAAGAGGCACCCTTACTCATTATAGCTATATACTTAGTTTATTTAATACCCAGGAGCAGAGGAGAAGATTTTTCAAAGATTTAATGTATTTTAACTATATAATCAAAAGAGCCTAGCATTATAAGTTCTGACCCTGGGGCTATAAAATTCACAATTTTGGAAGAGGCACTCTTGCTCATCATTACGATGAACTTAGTTTATTCAGTACCCAGGAGCAGAGAAGAAGATTTTCAAAGATTTAATGCATTTCACTATGTAATCAATAGAGCCCCAACCTAACACCACAATCCCTGACCCAGGGGCCATAAAATTCACAATTTTGGAAGAGGCACTCTTGCTCATCATATCTATGTACTTAGTTTATTCAATACCCAAGAGCAGAGATTTTGAAAGAATTAATTTATTTTCACTATTTAATTAATAGAGCCCCGCCCTAGCACTAGAACCCCTGACCCTGGGGCCATGAATTTCTCAATTTTGGTAGAGGACCGAATGCCCATTACATTCATGCCAACAGTTTGACTGCTTGATGTCCAGGAGTAAAGAAGAAGATTTCTGAAGATTTCATCAATTTTTGTGGTTTTTGCCCCACCCCTCAGGCCCCAGGGGGGGCATAAAATTCACAATTTTTGTTCCCCTTCACTCATAGATGCTGTATATCAAATTTGATTGAAATTGGTTCAGTGGTGTCAGAAAAGAAGCTGAAAATGTTCAAATGTGTTAACACAACACGCACGGCTCAGGTGACCTAAAATGCGATTTATCTGATACTTAGAAGATGAATTTCATTTTATACATAAATGTCAAAAAATAACAATTTTAGGCGAAAAAAAAATATTTTGCATTTCGACCAAGTGTATTTGAATTCAATTGTTGTCAAGTCAAATACTAAGGAAATATTTAATCTTGGAAAACATACTGTAAGTCGTTTTGATTCCACGGTTTTAAAATTTCACGATTTCTCAAGTTCGAATCGCGATGGTTTTAATTTCTTACAATCATTTAAACGTTTTTCGCGGAAAAGTGATGAATCGCGAACATAGCGAAATTAAAAGCATCGTGATTATTTATATGTATTATCATGTATTAATGCCTATGAGATGTATGTCTCTGACACTCTCTGAAACTCTGAATAACGTTTTTCATACTACAGCAAAACTCGGTTATAACGAAGTCACAGGGACCTATGAAATTACTTCGCTATATCCGTAATTCGTTATAACCGTATAAGAATTTCATTAAATTTATATAGCTTGGGATCTAAGATGACTTTGCTATATCCGTAAATTCGCAATATCCGTGTTCGTAATAAGCGAGTTTTGCTGTAATTGTTGGTCCATTATTCACACACTGAAGGAACAATTGCTTCCTTTTTCAATGACTTGGGTCTGTCGCGGCAGATACTTGAACCCACGACCTTCCGATCAATACGTGGAGCAGTGATTAGAGTGATTGCTTAAGATTCGTGGACTTAAGGGTTCGTATTCCACTGCGGCACGTTGAAACTGATCCTTCGGATTAGACTGTAGAAAAAGAGGTCCCATCGAACTGTAGATGCTTGAATAAAAATTTTTCCCTTTGCACAAGGACAGTAAGTACCGACCAGAGATTTTGCAGTGCTCTATCGACAAGTGGTGACTTTTAATGTAAATGAAATATTCTTGAAAAAACTTTAAACAGAAACCTTCGGTTTAACTTTCAAATGAGACAGATAAGCGCTTTGAAATTTCACGTGTGAATCATCTAAGAGAATTCCTTTTCCAATTCTATTAACTTTTCTTATTCCAATCACCCCTGTATCTCATTTTTTTCATTTTTCATATCTGCATTACTAGTACCTTTGACAAGACTTCCGAATGTACCATGATATTTCACCTCATGACATTTACTTTGATTTATTTTTGTAGGGTTGTCCGTGAGTAGTTGAATATATAACGCTGGCTGACGTTTTTCATACTACATGTAATTGTAAGTCCATTATTTATACAACGAATTGACGACGGAATTTTTCCGTTATTTCCCGATCATGACAAGGAGCACACTGCCGGTGTGACCGGTCGGCAGGGTATGCTCACTCCTCCATGGCACCTGATCCCACCTCTGATGTTTTGGGGGTCCGTGTTTGCTCTGCTCCTATTTTGTATTGTTTTATGGACTTTTTATCTTGAATACTGTTCGTTATCTCCATGTTTCATGCACGCAGGGGGTGGGCCTTTTACGTACATAATTTTTTAATATAGAGAATGTTCATTAAAAGTCAGATTCCCCCCTACCCAGTTAATATTGTAGTACGATCAAATAAAGGTAATGTAGTGTATGAGTAAAATAAAAATTGGTACTGAAAGGCGAAACCTAACACACACACCCTTAACCAACACCACCACGAAATAGGATTTCCGATTTAGGGCTCGATTTTTTTTTAGGTACCCCCCCCCCCCCAGAAAGATGCTATGTCACTGATTGTGAAACCGTTGTGATAAATGTCTTGTTTTATTTTTTTGTAGAAATTCCTGCATGCTCAACTATGTCAACAGGTCTGCTAACAAATGATGCTTTTGAGGAGTTCCGACGTCATATTCTGCCTTCAAGACGGGATTCATCATCCTCAGAAAAGAGAACGCATGTGACATTTCCTGCTGATTTAGTTGATCAAAAGAATTCTGAGAGAATTTCTCGTTTCTTTAAAAGAGCGGACTCTCTGGATTTGACAAAGCTTCTAAAGGTTTTTGATGACATGGATAAAAGAAATCGTGTGGATCCAAGCGTAGCATCGACGGCAGAGGTGGCGGCTGTCGTGGTAACATTTGTGGAGCGGATCTTAAAGAAGGTTGGTCAGATTGATCCACGGTTCTATTCAACCCTCCTTCCCGGGGGAAGTTTCTATGATGGGGTAAAGATAGGTAGGCCAGATGAATTCGACTTTACAGCAAAAATAGAGAAACTCTGTTCAAGAACGGAAATAGAATCGCGGTTCTCGCAGCGCAAGAAAGGCTTTGTATATGTGGTAATCACAGAACCTGAAGCTCTGGGGGAGTTTAGGGACTTTTTCACTGATGCAGAGGACGACGAAATATTAAAGAGTGGCGAAATTATCTTATCTGTGAAGAAAATTCAGAGACATTTTAGTGAACTTATTGATAAAGCTCTCGGAACTATCAATGTACCACGAGTTCTCGCTCCTGCTGGTAAGGATGATGGGTTAATTTGGCATTCAGTCCGCCACGGTCCCTGTGCTACTGTGTATGCAACATATTATTCAGTAGCTTTGGGAGAGATGAGTCTAGATATTGACATCGCTCCAACATTTGATCTACCAGAACCCTCTTACATACCTCCCGTCTTAAACTTGGTGAACGTGCCTCGCCTGTCTGACGGAAGAAATCCACTGCAGTCAAAATTAATCGAGGTGCTTCAGAATGAATTGAAAATAATGGTGGTACCGTTTACATTTGATAGAATAGCAATGGAATCCGACGGGCAGACGTGGTCTTATGAATACAGCGAAACTTGGAGAGTTTCATTCAACTCGCTTGAAAATTTTCTGTTTTCTATGCATGACAATGATTCTGTTGAAAAACAGCTTTATAGAGTTTTAAAGGTATTAAAAGAATCGTTCATTCAAAAAACTCAAAATTTGGAATCCAAAGCAGGAACGTCAAAAATTAAACTTGAAGAGCCACCTAGCACGAACATGACCTCCGTTACGGTAGAACCGGTAGGATTTCTGTCCGATTTCAGTGTAGAACCGATTGGAGCTTTCAGTGAAGAATCCGATGAAGATACTGATGACGAAAACTCATCAGATTCGCTTTGTGCGAGCGGACATCGTTACGAAATCCTGTACGAGCGCTCATCTTCGCAGTCTGGCTCGGATCCAGATGATGGAGCTGAAAATACTTGTAACCCCAGGCTAGCTGAGAGATGTGACGGGCTAAAACAGATCTCTTCGCTCGTCTCTTCTGATGAAGTTAACAATTCTAATCCAACTCAAGCTTACCGCAGCTCCAAACCACTGATCAAGACATATTACTTCAAAATGATCCTGTTCACGATGAAGCTATTGCTTGTTGATCACACAATGTGGAATCGGAAAAATTTGCCAGCACTGGTATTATTTGTACTAAAAATTCTCTTTTTTGTTTACTCTTCAAAGGAGAGATGCTTTGTCAACTTCTGGTTTCAAGAAATGATCGAGACATCAGCCAGGCAGTCTGTCGGTTTAGAAATCTTACAATCGTTAGAAGACATTCTGCAGGAACTAGAACTAAAAACAAGATCTCTGTAGTCATTTCATCCGACGAAGAAAGGATTGGGCGGTTGTTAAAAGTCGGTCTTCTGACAGTGTGATTAATCATTGGAAAATCTTTCTTCAACTCATCATCATCCAATGGCAATTAACGTATATACAAGTACCCGTAAATACAAGCAGTAATATATGAATGGACAAAATGACGGTCAAACCCAAATTGATTCCATGCATCTTCTACTTTCAATAAAAGCGTTGGCAGTCGAACATTCACCGCCGTAAAGGTTTGGTATAAACTAAATCATTTCTATAGAATGATTGTTGTACGAGTAAAGGCAAAATTATAGGAAGGAGAAAGACCCACAATGGAGGAAAATCAGGGTCCACAACTACACTGTACATTGAGTGGTCTTGTCGAACTTCGGGACACATGAGAAAAAGAAATTCTGTGTGTTCCTCAATTCTTTAGGAATCGCGACAATTCCTTTTATCTAACTAACAACAGTTTTTTTTTGTATTTATGTATCGACTCGATTCATACGCCCATGAAGTAAATATAAAATTCCATCGAATTTTAGACGATTGCTTTATTTTTGATAGCTTACGTACTAGAAATGACAAACTAATAAATGAAGTAAATGACAAACGGGGCGACTTCACCTTTTACATTTTCAGTTTCCCGTAATTATGTAGTATATTCTTTTATCACCTGCATAAAGAATTTAGTGATTTTGTATGCAAGAGCAATTTTTGTATATAACGGTATTCAAGACCAAAGTAGGCAGATAACAGATGTTGATGTTACATGGTTTTCTTGTTAAATGTCCGCATTCTGGTCTTAAAAAAATGAGTGTTTGCAAATAGAACTTATCCTTGAATGGATCTTTTTTTTTTTTACATATTTGATTCCAATCGTTAACCCATTATTTTATAATGCGGATTCCTCCCTTTAACTAATTGATATAGAGGACTAATAGTGGGAGTGATTAGTAAAAGAAGGCACCTGATCCAGCCTATTTTGTATCAGGGGCCCGTTTTAACGTCACGTGATGTGTACAGGATTTCTGAGGTAGGGTACAGTTTTTCGTCGTCATTCATTCTTATTATGTGTTTTCCTCTTTTGACTGTTTCTGGCAAGTGAATGGTTATTTACTTGGATGTCATGAAATTTTCACTAGAGTATTTAGGTATTAAAGAAATATCATTTTCTTTCACCTGCAAAATTGACGGAAAACAGTTCTTAATTTAGTAATTACTTTTTTTATACCCCTGCTCCGAAGGAGAGGGGGTATACTGTTTTACCCTTGTGTGTCTGTCCGTCCGTTTGTCTGTCCCTGACAAATATTTGGTTGCAATTTTTTTCAGCAACTGCTCATCGCAGATGCTTAAAAAATCTATTTAAAAAAAGTAAACTCATGTGACCTATTGCTATCTGTTTTCGTCCATCGTCGTTCGTCGTACGTTGGTCTTAAACTTTTGAACATTTTTAGCTTCTTCTCTGGAACCACTGAACCAATTTCAACCAAATTTGGTATACAGCATCTATGGGTGAAGGGGGAAAAAATAATTAATTCCATGGTCCCTGCCCCCTGGGGTCTAAGGGGTTGGACCAAAACCCCTAAATTAATGCAATCTTTAAAAATCTTTTTCTTTACTCCTGGACATCATGCAGTCAAACTGTTGGCAAGATTTTATTCAGCATTGTATCCTCTACCAAAATTGTGAAATTCATGGCCCCTGGCTCAGGGGTTCTGGTGTTAGGGTGGGGCTATATAGATCATATAGTTAAAGTGCAATTATTTCTTTGAAAATCTTTTCCTCTGCTCCTGTGTATTAAACATACTAACCAAGTACATAGTTATGATGACCAAGAGTGTCTCTTCAAAAATTGTGAATTCCATGGCCCCTGGGTCAGGGGGTCTGGTGTTAGGGCGGGGCTCTATTGATTATAACGCGAAAATGCATTAATTCTTCAAAAATCTCCCCCTCTGCTCCTGGGTATTAAATAAACTAACTTAGTATATACATGTAGTTATTTTGAGCAAGAGTGCCTCAAACAAATTTGTGAACTTCATGGCCCCTGGGTCAGAGGTTTTAGTGTAAGGGAGGGGGCTCTATTGATTATTTAGTGAAAATACATTGATTCTTTAAAAATCTCCTTCTCTGATCCTTGGTATTATACCAATAAACTATGTACACAGTTTTGATGAGGAAGGATGCTTTTTCCAAAATTGTCAATTTCATCGCACCTGGGTCAGAGGTTCTGGTGTTAGGGCGGGCCTCGAATGATTACTAGTATATAGTAAAAATGCATGAATTCTTTGAAAACCTTTTCCATGGCTCATGGGTGTTATGCCAATGATCTTAGTATATATATTTATGATGAAGAAAGGTCCATCTAGCAAAATGGTTAATTTCATGCCCCCTGGGTCAGGGGTATCGAGGGGGGTTTACATAGTCTGAAAATAAAGTAATGGTTTGAAATCTGCTCTTTAGTATTAATCAACCATTTATGATGAAATGAAATTTAGAAAATTTCCGAAATTTTGAAATATGTGGCCCCAGGGCCAGTGCTTCCTGTGGGGCATGGTGCACAGCTGGTTATAAAATTGAAATGCATTTTCTCTGTTACTCTGATCTACCTCTGGGTACTAAGTAACTTAGCATGCTAAGTATGGGATTATGATAAGCAATGGTGCCTCTTTTAAAATTGTGAATTCCATGTCCTCTGGTTTAAAACACGAACCAAATTCAATTGTTGGAAAGTTGATACATGATACTCAGGTGACCTATAAGGCCGATAGGCCTCTTGTTTAAAATCATATTCACATTGGAGCGGGGGTATTTCTAGTGAGCATTGATTCACAGACTTCTTGCTGTTATTCACAAACGTTCTCTAGATTGGCCTTTAGACATTTTTGGGATTGGGTGGGGGAGCTTTTATTCTTAACAAACAGAAAACAAAAGTAATATTATGTGTCCTCATGAATACTACCTGTTTTCTTCTCATTCTCGTCACTAAAACATCTGAGGTGGTGAAGAATAATTACATCATTTTGAAACAAAAATGTGCAGTGGGGATTAAATACTCCTAATGCAGAGCAAGAACACCATCCTGGCAAGCATAACACTACAAAAGGTGTATAACTCGGCTGTTTAATTTACTAAGTACTGAGTATTTGATTGCTTGTTTCTTCGTCAGTGAAGCTCTGAACATATATTGCTGAAATTATACTTTTAGGTATTAAGATATTTTGATCAGAAAAAAAATAGTATTGGAGTTGTTCCTCTTCTGCTAGTGTTAAGGCTACGACAGAACTGTACAAAAGAAATAGTACAAACCTGTTACAATGTGAATAGATAAGACAAATGCAAATATAAAGATTTTTTCATTTCTTAACATAAAAACTAGATGCAAGTTCTTTTTTTCCCAAAATTACTAAGCTCATAAAAATTTTGACACATAAACTGTACTAATTTTTCCTCCAACGATAACATTTTTTACACTTACCTCTTAAATTTTTATGTTGGGGAAAATAAAAACTAAATTAAAATAATCTTCTTTGTTGGTTTTACAAAGAAAGTTGATTGAATTTTTGTTCCTATAATAGTTTTATAACGTCTATTTTCGATTGCAGGGTTATGTGAAGACATTCTTTTATGTTTTTTTTAATAAAGAGGATGTTTTGAAATTTTTCTTTTTCTTTACCTTGCGTTGTTATATTATACCGCGATCTTATCATATAAATGAAGGAGAAGATAACTTATTTCATTTACTTTTTTTATTAACAAGCTTTGACATTTTTTCAGTTGATTAAAATTTATATGTCATACATCCCAAATTTCTGGACTATACTGGGTTACATTCATAAATGCTGCCTCCTTTCCATAAGTAGACATAGTTCAGAACAAACTTCTGTACAAAGATTGTTAATCAATTGTTTTATACACAGATTACATCTATTGATATATGTATTGATTCGATAAAAAAATTCTTTAATTTTTTTTCAGTTTTGTAAATAGATATTAACAATTGCTATTACATGTAACTAAGATTTTAGAATATCATTGATACGCATGCTTTCCATTTATTCCTCCATAAACAGTCAAGGAACAAATCTCGCATACACATGGTACCTTTTGAAGATTTATTAGAAGGTTAGGACAGTATTCTCACTATCATTCAACTAAATAGGCATTCTTATATTGACGGTCTGCAGTGATATCGTCTTCCAGTAGTTCCATAGCAGTTGATTTGAACATATTTTATTGCTTGTACTTTACAATTGGGATTGGGCAAAAGTTCTAAAAACTTATTACGCCCTCTCCCTACATATACATTATACCAAACATATTTACATACATGGGTTTCAGCTTAAAATGAAATAACAACAATAATAATAATGTAATAATAATATATAATAATCAGAGTGAAACACATTCACTAGAATACATTTCATATGTAATAGACATGCTTTATGAGATTTACAATCAGATATAATTATTGTCTCAACCAAATCGTCCTGACTTTTTAATAAAAGTTTGTACAATATAAAATAGGTATTCATTTTCAAAATCATTTAACGTTTTATCTCCCCAGAGTAAAGTGTGAGTATCGACAGTGTGTAATTTACCCATTCGCAAAAAATTGTCAAAAAAATCTTTCCTGGCTTCTGTATATTTTTTGCATGAGAAGAAATAATGATGAGTATCCTCCAATCTTCCACAAGAACATAGTGGACTCAAAATTACATTACATTGAAAAAGAGCACACAGTTATGTCTAAGCCTCGTGTGTTCCATAACTGAAGTAAGAGGGTGGCATTTGTTTATTGTAAGAAATAGACTTTTTAAAAATAGATAACGAGGGAGAATTTCTTACATAAAGAGGTAATGAGTTCCATAGCAGTTTGTCCGTATGTTTTATTTTTGCCCGGGGACTCGATTAAAAAAATTGCTAAGAAAACTCCCATTTCACTTGTATATTGAAGATATGTTGATATTTATATTTTTTTCCTTCTGTATTCATTTAAAGTCTCATAGGGCGTCATTAAACTGAACAGCGCCATAACGTCACCAAACGTCGCCATTTTTCATGAGTTATGTTTCCAACTTTCTCATTTCGAATGATCGGGAAACTGCTAAAAGTTAAAACAAATGCTTTGAATTTTTCCAAACGACGACACAATAGATATAGTTGATGTAAAAAAGAATAACTTTTACCCTATTTCTTTTTCTATTTAATTCTTCTATTTCGAAATAATACTCGTGTATTCTCTAATAAAACCCTGGGTTTTTTTAATAGTGCGCTGTATCGCCGTAACCTGTGCACATTCAAGCATAATAAAATCTCTTTTTTGTCTTCCATTTTTTCAACAAAAAAAAAAAAAATAAAAAAATAAAAAGCACTTGGATCCTGATAGGCAGTTATAAATAGATTGTATTCAAGACAAAAGTTTAGAAAAAAAAAGTTCTACAAAATGGAAGAATTTTCTGATAATCGTTGCATAAACAGTGTATAAAACAAATGCATTGTAATGTCATAGATTGTTGAAAATGAAATTTTCTACAAGAAAAATGTGCATATATAAATGTTTCCTAAGTTGTATTGTGTTTTCACATGAATTACTAATTTGACTATGCTTTTTGGGGAGATTATATCATCTCATACCGCGAGATATGTATATGTATGTACATGTATACATAAAAAAGATAATAAATCGCGCATTTCATTTACTTTCTTTATAAGCAAACTTCTACATTATTTCCTTTGATTAAAATTTATATGTCATAAATCACAAATTTCCTATGAAATTAGTTAATTATCTTTTTTAAAATTTTATTCCCCGGGATATGTTTAAACATAATTTAAGATTAGTCGTTCTTTTGTAGAAATAATTGTCATATTTGCCGTTGGTGATCTTTAATGCTTTTGATCTTGCAAGAAGCACTTTGAGATTAGAAAACAATATTTGAAATTGAAACCCACCCAAAAAAATTAACTAACGAAAAGGCAAAAAGAGAGAAACAAAAGGAAATTTATCACAGAACATAAATGAATACAAATAAGATTATATAATGATATATTTGCTAATAAAGGTCGCAGGATTTTTTATGCCAAATTATTTCAGAGTTTGCTTAAATCCTGTTGTTTTATTTCTTCAATATTGGAAGAATTATGGAATTAAAGAACTAGTATACAAACAGTGTAGAAGTAACTATTATAATACTGATATAAAAGTATATTTATACGGCTACTACACGTGGTGATGAGTAAAGCAAAGAATAGAAAATAGTATGTAACTTCCATCATAGTACCAAGAAGACTTAAACAACATTAAGACTTTGCATTCAATTTTATATATTTTGAAATTATTATATACAAGTTTGTTGTACGTGGCATATTTACTTTACGTCGGCAATTATGTAGACGGCTTTGGGATTACTGAGTGACAAGAAAACATTTATAAAAATTAATTTTCGATGCAGTCTATTTGAAGTATTATCATATGTTTAAAAAATTAAAGTACATTGTAACTCCCCTTTCTTTGTTTGCGTTAGATGTGTCAAAAAATACTAATTTTCTTGAGATCGTTTTATCATAAAGTCGACAGTTATAGCGTCAAAGCATTCAAACAATGGAGGAAAAGTAGATATATCAATTAACCAATTAAGATTAAGAGATCGTGGCATTTTTAACAAAACACACGTTTAATTTTTCCATGAGAAAAACCTAGACTAACTCGGTGAATTTTATCGTTATAAAAACAACTGGCGCTTCTGCATTTCGCCACGAATAAAAAATCCTTTGTTATCAAAGTAATTTTAAAACTATCTACAGCTTGAACAAGCACAGTGATAACATAGTGATGTTTTTATTTTGATTCTGAAATTAAATTAAAAATAAATTTAATTTTCCAAGGAGTAAACTGTCATAAGGGTTTCCTTCGTGTTCAGTAACTGGCAGTCTCATGGGCGGGCATGTCGACGTGAAATAATCAGCATTACTTAATATTCTGTCGATATTTCCAAGGATCTGTGACGGTTCATGATCATTTATTTATCAAAAGGAAACCGACCAATCAAAATCCACGCTCGTCAAATTGATTTCATTCATATTCCCAGCGCGGCAGAGTGTCTGACGAATTCTACTATTTGCTAGTTTTATTGTCACCCGGACTTTAAAAAACATGTGAAAAGTTTGGAATTATTTTTATATTCTACCTAAGGATATACAAATTTTACACGTACACGCTAATTATCGGGCGGCCACTTTGATCTCCCGGCAACGTGATCGCAATCAAAAAGACACCTCCATAGATAATTTGATTCCATGTCTTTTTAATTTATGGCGTAGGAAATTTTACTTTTGAGGTAAAATGTGAAAAGAAAATCGGAAATAATGTCTTAGGCGCAATAAATAATATCACCGACAAGACTTTGTATTTTGAACCATTGGCTAGCTGGACTGACTTTTAATTATTTTAGTTTCAACGCCTATAGACAAGAGTGTGTTTTGTTGCAATGTGTGATAATAGATAAAAAGTGTTAGGTCTGTAATCATCTGGAAATCTTGGACTTTTGTTTGCGCTTTGACGTTCAGCATAAGGAGATGAAGAATCCCGAAGTGTCCTGTATATTGATCTACCTCTTCTCTGGATTTTACCTTGTTCAGGCCTCATGGTGGTAAGTAAAAAAAATCTGATGTTATATTCTATCAAATCTGTAACAAAACTAATATTTATTTCATAATCATTAATAATTAGAAATAAATAATTATCTTTGAAAATTAATTACCATGCAGTCAATTTAGTTTTCCGGAGTAACTGCAAAGATTATTTTTTCATAAGTGTACCAAATTTAATACAAATTAAGAAATAAATATTATAAAATCAACAATTTAAAATTTGAAATCTAGGCGATAGTTATTTTATGGCTGTAAAATGATTGTTACCAACCCTTTTCATTGGCCCACTAACATATACTTGATCAAATTGAAATTGAAGAGCTTATCATGTTTATTGTAAGTCGTTCAGTCGTCAGAAAATGAATACTTGGGGGAATTAAAAGTAAACACGGAATAACTTACAAAGAAGCATGTATCGTATCTGAATTCAGACCATACTGACCCAAGCTAATCACTAAATCAGTACACAAAAATCTCAGTGTCCACCCGTCAAAGTGACTCGCATTTGATGTGCTAGTAAATATTTATCAATCTAATAACCAACCATTCGTGAATCTTCAGAGTTGAAACAATTGTATAAACCATAAGAAATTATACAAATATATTTCTAAAAGTGATATGCACTTAAAATTCGAGAAAGAAAAAAATACACTCCATAAAACATGTCCTAATTCGAGACGTTAGCACGCCTGTTTCGTATTTTTGCGATGTTCATCTCATTTGTAATCTACTCTCTCCAGACATCAAGCGAGAATTCCTACATGCTAATTAACCAGATTAAAAATCTATTGCACTTTATAATGGCATGCAATTAAGTGAATCTGTTTTCAGCCTATCTAGACTTCTTTGTAGTAAAATCTGCTGCGGTTCGCCCATTCAACAGATGGATTACAGTTTCCCCCTTCTAAATAAGCGTCCTCATATTTCAAAAAAATTCTTAAAGAAAATTCATAGGCTGGCAAACAATTTTATAATTCGTGTGTTTGCTTGTTTTAAACAATTTACAAGAATTCGGGACAAGTGAAAAGTACAGTACTAGATAGATATCTTAAGGATTTTGAAATTCTTTGAATTCGAAAATTTAAAATATTTGCATTTTTAATCCAGAGAGTGAGTAATGGACATTTTTTTTATTTTTCTTATTTTTGTTCAATAAACTTATATGATTCATTTAACCATGTCTTAGTCATTATATTTTAGAACTATTATTTTTTTGAAAATCAAAATATTTATTGTTAATAAATTGAATATGTCTTGAAATGCTGTCTAGTGATTGGATTAATGTGAAAGGATTAGGGGGGATTAAGAAGAAATCAGTGGATATGTTGCTGACACTCTTCTCTTCTTCTCCACAGAGCAGGGGAAAGTGACACCGAACCCCGCTAATCGTTAGGTAAACAGTCTTGAATTCAGTGGATTAATCTCTCACAAAAGCCGATACAAGTTCAGCAATATTTATCAAATCAGCCGTGTTCTCTTGTAAGTTTTATTTATTTTATCAAAAGACAAGTTTAATCGCAGTTCCTCGGTTGCGCTGTTTCGAATGCTGTTTAAAGCTGAACTTTTAAGTAGGAAAAAAGACTCCACTTCTCTGAATTCTGACTCTAGAACTAAAAAAATTGAATAAATATAAAATGCATTCTGCTAAATGTTTGGTTTGTAAACCATTATTCCCTTTATCCCAAATAATATAAATCGCCTAAAAATTAATCATGATCATTAGTAGTAAAATGGGGGGAAAAAAAAGCTCAAATTAAGCTCAACATCGACAATTTCATAAAGTATTTTTCTTGTTTCGAAATTTGAAAAATTAACCAGTTTGGAATTTTCTTTCCTGTGCTCTTAAAAATGTACAAATAGAATTTGCCAGAATTAAAAAAAAAATGTAAGCCCATTTTTCTACAAGTTATGTTTGGCAAAATAATTTACAAATCGCTGTTTTCACAATAAGTTGCAATATTTAATGCAGTGTAACAGATGATAATAATTTTCTAAATTTGGGGGAAAATATGTCAATTTAGATTCTGTCTATTTTTTACACAAGTCACACAAGCGAGCTATTATTTTGCTATCTTTGTGCAAAAGCGAACAGAAAACCTTCTCTTTAAATTATGAAAACTAAATGAATGTAAATTTGAGCAACAGCAAAAAATGAACGGATCTTTTAACATTTAACACTGTCAGGAAAACATATAAAGATTTTAAGGTGTATTTCAAATGTTACAAAAATGCTAAATTAAAATGTTTTTATTTATATTAATCAGATTTAAATAGCAGATCAAACTACAAATGTACAAAGATTTCATCTGCAAGTTACAATAGGATTTCGTTTGAACTTTTTTATTCTGTATACATCTGATGCAAGTAATTTCAACTTTACTTAATCTCTTCTCGTTTTAGACGGAATGATAATAATTTTCAAGTAAAACTAAAATGATAACTTTTATAAAATTTTAAGTTAAACATGTTATCCTAATAACAAAAAGGGATATACACAGATATCGTTAATATTTTTGATACCACTTTTGAAGATATTGCTTTTAGATAATGTTTTAACCAATACACTTACTTAGGTTTTAATATGACAAATCAGAAATAAGTTAAAAATAAAACACGATCACTTATGGGAACTTCTCTAAAACAAAACTGACGACTTCATATGAATTTGACACGAAATTAAGAAGAACGACTTTAAATATAAATTATATTGCTCATCGATTTAAATTAACTTATTAAACAACATCACATGAAACACTGTTAATAACAGAGTACATAAAGCTGTTAGGTATATTTTATATATCAATTATTTTTTGTGATGTTCAAAAAAAATATTCCAGTGAATCAAGTAGTGTAAAATAGTAAGGCCCCGAGTCCTAATAAGTAATACTTGTATCTGTTACTGGTTATTTAGGTCTGTGCTAGGTGTTATCATGATCGACCAATTGTCATTGTCAAATCTTGTGATTGTGGGCTCTGAACCTATCCAAAATGTGAATGAATCCTGTTTTATTCAACTCAATTTCCACATCATATGTCATTGATGTGAAATTAACACAAAGAATAATAGTAACCTAATTAGTACACAGAGTAATTGAACATTTGGGATATCGAGTTTCAAGGAGACGATTTAACTATCTGTACCGATATTTTTTTTAATGGGCCACATTTGAATGTCTTTATTGATTATCATCATTTCTTCTTAATGAAGCAGAAATCTGAAAATCGCAAACAGAGATTTTCTTTAATGAAAAAAAAAAATTGTGGGATTAAATTTCAAAGACTGGTGTTCTGTATTGAATGGCTGGTCTCTTTTTGTGTTAAATGTTCTCTGTGCCGGAGACAAATTGAAACCGGCCACCTCTTGAGGAGCTGTGCCGACGGCTGAACTATCAGATATCTATCATCATAGATCTATATTACAATCTGGTATAACATCACACCTGATGTTGTGACGAGGGAACAGATTTTAATTGATTTGCAGGTTTAGGATATCATTTAATTCCACATCAATAACACTTCGTTCCTACCCTACGAGCTCAATTTTTCCGATCTCACTGAAGAAGTTTTCATTGCTAGACTCACCATTTCAGCACAATCTCTGGTTACGCTGCACGTTAACTCGGTCAATACAGAGAAGTTAGAGGACTCCTGTCAAATGGGAATGCTTACTTCTCCCAGGCACCTGACCCTACCTCATGTTTCCGAGAAGCCTTATTTTTGCCCTGAATTGTTCACTAAGTTATGAGATTGATCACCATGCGTTATCTATCAACTTCTTCTCAACACCACCCTACCATTCAACAATTTTACAATTTCAAGACTCTTTTTTTGCACTGACAGTATGTAAGTGGATTCTTGCTACCGACAATGTAAACAAATAGTTTAATCTGAGTATATCAATATGAGCTTCAGAAAAGTCAGAATTGTTCACCAGGACAAGGGTCTGAGGGGGTTTAGAAGGAGGGTTGATAGCTAGAATCCCTGATTCAAACGGCGACCGATAACATTGAGGAACAGCCGAGATAGTTCTGATAAGACCCCTTTGAAGGCAGGTCGGTTAAAGATTGGCTAAGTAATTCGCTCACTTTCTTTTTCCGCACGAGCTCTTTGTTTTTTGTTGGACAGCACTTGAAACCAAACATTCAAGATTCGTTTTGTCTACAACATGGATTTGATTTAGATATAAAACATTATATGATCTGTGTTTTTGTGGTTTGGTGATACCATAATCGCAGACAAACTTGTTCACATGCACATTGCAAACGGTTTTTTTAAACCTCTGTTTTCTCAGATTTCATAGACACCAAACATAACAGAACACTTCCGAAATGATGCCTGCCAAGAATTTCTCAAAAGATTCATGGACAATACCAGCAAATCATTCATTATTTAATAGAAAATTAAGCCGATATGATTTATCCAGATGTGCATTGATAAAACTGGAACATTTTTCTCTTCTCGGTCGTTCTTCCTGTTCTGAATTCTAGTCATAATTCACATTGTTTTCACACTTCTCGTTTTGGATGCACACCCACCGATTTTCTAAAAAGCACCTGTCACTAAAATACTTTAAATTCAATTTCTTAGCAATGAAAGGTGAAATACATGTACTTGCTTTAAAAATTAAAATGAAATTCTATTTTTACACATATTCTACGTGCAATATCTATGTTTTGCCTTTTCTTAAATGGCATGTTGAAGTTATGTGTGGCAATTCCTATTTTAAGGAAAGTGTTTCGTCTTATTTACTGAACACTCAATCTTTTCATTTCAAGACGAAGTTTTAAGTCATTAAACAGTGACATGACAGAGAAATTTAGTATCGGGTTCAACGTGTCAATATTTACCAACACAGAGATAGGTGTCATCGACTTCATGAGAAGTATGTGATCTCGTTAACGAGACAATACGAGACGACGCCATTATGTAAAGATTTATTTTACATAAAGAAAAATCAATCGGAATGCTTTTAAATCTCATTAAAATAATTTTTGTCAAAGTATCAAATTACACGTTTAGTCTAAGGACTTTTTTAAAATTAGTCGAAAACAGCTTACAAGTCAGCTCTGTTTTCATATTATGAGATTGTGCTAGTAGTGTAAGATGCCTAGTGCTCTCAAAAACATGTCATCAAAATAAGATGTTCTGTTCTAATATAGTTATTAATCACTCTGATGATTTTGAATTAATTTATTTACTCTACTTCAAAACGAAAATATAGTTGCTGAGGCCATCTTTAAAAAATTGTTTGGTTGCCTTCTCCCGACCGACTTCTAAAAATGGACGTTCGGGGAACATTTTTCTTATGCATTCTGAAAATAGATTTTGAAAATTCTGCATCAATTTGAAAATTTTCTCTCCCACCCACCAACCAAAATTTTTCACCCAAGGTCGGGAGAAGGCAAACAATCATTACATTGTATTTTAAAGTTGACTTGATTGTTTTTTCATTTAAAAAAAAAAGGGGGGGGAGATAATTTAACTATGAAAATCACATCATTTCATACAAATAGATATGAGTTCCTGAGTATGATTTTCTTTCATTGATTTTGAAAGGAATATTTTAATGTTTGAATTTTATTCTTGTTATTTGCATGAAGCAATAAAAGAATCGCTTCGATGGGATTGCAGAATTCCGATAGCATCTGTTCTGATTAGGAGACAGCGTTATCTTAAAATATCTACTTGCTTGGTGTCGACTTTAATGGTAATATGATTGAAGAAGAAAGAAATTAACCATCATTACTTCTCCCTTTTTTAAAATAACTCAACATATTTTATGACATTAAAATAAGAACGGTACAATATATTTTTCTCTCGTAAAAGAATTTTTAAGTTCCGTTTTATATGTAATTTTTCAATCGTGCAAAATTTTAAGGTATGAATTGAAATCAGGGGATTAAATAGAGTATGTATGATCAAAGAGCAGATCGCCTCGAAGACTTTATAGTCAGATAAAATGTGCTCTATCTCAATCATCTAAATACATGATACTCAGATGTAAAGTCAAGTAACAAAGTATTAGATTCATGCATAAATTTGTAAGATTTTATCAGTCTTCTTTAAAAAAAAACTCACAAGCTCTTATAAAGGGGGTACACACATAGATCACATCTGTAATAAACGTGGGGAGTCGTATTGGGCGAGTTTCAATTAGAACATATTTTATGAGCCAGTTTTACGAGCGCTTCAATAGGGTTTTTACGGCTGCAATGAGTCCGGGTCTTTTAAGCTGTATTTACGAGATCGTATCATAATTTTCTGTTGAAATAAATTGATTTACCGTTCTCTATGCAGTTGAAGTTATGAAGCAATGACGAGGAGAACGGTTCCTACGATGATTTGGGATAAATATCTTCTTGTTTTTATTTCCCCCTCTGGACTGACATCCACCATCGAGCAATGTTTACGAGCGTGTTCGATTAGAAATCACGGAATGTGATTACACGGTCTAATCTTTACGGCCCTACTTGATATCAATATCAACATTAAACGAATGATTTCCTCCATAGATAAAGAATTACCTTCATCAGCTAATAAACCTCCCAAATTCTGATTTATGTTCCAGCCAAAATTTTAATATCGGAAGGTTATATAATTTATATTTGGAATGTTTATAGAAGCCAGGCAGGCTCATAGAAATTGAGGAAAATTCGTCGATCCTTCAGAGACCCGGGATGTCCTTTGTGCCAGCGGGACTTAACTTTGATTGGTCCTTCCTGTCTTACGAATCGCTATATGAACACTTTATCACAATTATTGGATGTGATGAGGCCACACACAGTTGTTTGTTAAGAAGCCAATTCCTGCCACTTCAACCCCAAACACTTAATCAGTCAATTATTCTCAACAGCCAGTTATTCTTTGAGATATTTAAAAACTGCACAAGGATACTTCTTTTTTGCTCTCTTTTTTATCCAAAAAATATTCAGTTTCATGCGAACTCAAACGTTCGTGTCTCCTCAGGTCACCCTCGCCCATTTTCATGAAAGAAAAAAAAACTTTGTCCTTTAAAATGATTTCACAGTTCAATAGAAATCTTGTCATTTTAGAAGGCATTGGTTCGCTCTTACTTTGATACTGTTTAAATGCTTTCCCCCAAAAGTGCAATCAACGTTACGTATCCTCAGTTATATCAAAGTATTATCTTCAGCTGTAAAAGAGACAAGTATCCGTCAATATCGATAGCATACAGCAAAGGGTCTGTTCTCAAATTTTCCTTATTTAGCATAAATAGTGATGATGTTTTTAAAAATTTTCTTTGCTAAATATAAAAAACTATTCACCATTTTGAGCACAACGACTTTCTGAACATGTTACATATGGGTGCACTGTTTTACTAGTACTTAGGACGGTTTTGACGGTTTTTCACTGAATTACAGATTCATGTACTTGTCGTCAATATTTCTTGGACGGCAAGTAGTAAAAATTTGGACGGCCACATAGGAATAAACAAAGTTATGTCTTCCACATTTACAGAAAAATATTCAGTGTCTTTCTCAGAACCTACACAAGCTGACGAGTGGAGGAAAATTGCAAAAAGGGAAAATTTCTTTAATTCTAATTAATTCCCGGCGTTTCAGTGTTAATTGTTATTGGTCAAAACAAAATATATATAAGGTCTGTTTCCAACTTTTCACAGAATCATGTCGGGCTGTTCAAGCTCATGGAAGACCCGAACAGCCCAACAACATATTTCTGTTGACAGTAACAAACCTAAGAAGTTATTTTGTACTGTAATTGTGTTGATTTAGTCAACAGAAGTAAAATGTAACGAGTCGAGATATAACTGACTATTATAAATGTAATTGACAGGTACCTAGGTATTATTGGATCGGTTCGACCAACCATGAGAGAACTGCTGACGTCAGATACGGAAGTGACGGATTGTGCTAATATGAACTTCCTGTCGGAAGAACAGCGGAAGTTGTGTGGACAGGAACGCCGTCTTCCGAGGGTTATTAGTGAGGGAGCTTCATTAGGAATCAGTGAATGTAAACATCAGTTTGGAAATCGCCGGTGGAACTGTTCAACATATAACTCTACAGACGTTTTTGGGGGAATTCTTAAAAAGAGTAAGTCCTGAATTTCAGGTAGCGGTTTATCAAAGGAAACTGGTTTTATCCATGCTTGAATCGTTTTTAAATTAATTAATAGTTTAATATGTTTACATGTAAGAAACTATAACATGATACCAGTTGCAATATAGTCGAACCCCGTAAGTGATAGGCTGGGAACACATTTTTCAATAAATAGCCGGAAATTATTCAGAAGTTCGTCATCTGGTCATCCGGGGATGAATTACCCATATTGTACACAAGTATTCACGCGGCCTCTCCCCGGAGACGACTGGCTCTATCAGACGACCGCCTTGATTGATAGATAATTTGATTTAGAAAAATAAAGGAGAAGTCCTTTTCATTGATCATCGATACACAAATATTGTTTTCACATGTCCCATGGATGAGTTGATGAACCAAATTATTTTAATTTTTTTCAGAAATTCGAGAAAAAGCCTATATTTACGCTATCTCCTCAGCGGGAATAATGTACAGTATCACACGATCCTGTGCGAAAGGAGAGCTAGACAACTGTGGTTGTGACATGAAAGTCAGACGGAAAGATACACAAGGACAATTTGAATGGGGTGGATGCTCCGAAAACACTAAATATGGCGCCAAGTTTTCCCGGAAATTCGTGGACACAAAGGAATCCTCCAAAACGTCAACTTCCTTAATGAACTTGTGGAATAATGAAGCAGGAAGGAAGGTATTGAATCGTTCGTCTTCCAGATACTTTGGTACTGTATTCCAGTCCGAGACAATGTGTATTCATCTCCTCAAAAAATTATGTTCCCGAAATATTAAATATTTTTAATTATTACTAATACCAAAGCAAGGCCACATGCATGATGTTTACGGCTCTGTATCGTGCAAAAAATTAGCAACCATAATATCAAAACCATTTATAAATAACAGTTATAAAACCAAATCCAGTAGCTAGAAGTAGAGAATCAAAAGTCAAAAGATTTAGCAATAATATAACCAAGACAAATACATTTTATTTAGGTCTCTGTATTAATGCTATTTCAATAGTTCTTAGCAGAAAATAAAAGTATCAACAAAAAAGCCATTAATACATGTAGGTATAATGATAGCACAAAATTCATTAGATAGTACTACCAGCATTTGTTTTAGTTATAATATAAAACCAATACCAAGTCTTGGCTGTTAAAGTGAAAAGTTATTTACAGAAGTACCAAAACCAGTAACGTTCTACCGAGTGTAAGCAGTTATTGTACAAAACATCATTTTAACAAATACATGTAGCACTAAGGCACCCCAAAACCAAATTTTGGCGGAACTAGTACCAAAACTAGTTACCAACAGGAGTAACACTTACCCAGTTATCGGTAATATTATTACTAAAACCAGGAATTGTCAGAAGTAAGAAAAAAATAGTAGTAGTAATAAAGCTGATATTATATTACCATATATGTTCTAAAAAGCGGAGTTTATGCCCCATCCCGGTATTAGCAATAATCGTACCAAAACCTGTAGAGGTCGTACAATGTACATGTAATAATATTTAATCATTTACCGGTTTTAGCAATAATCGTACCAAAACCTGTAGAGGTCGTACAATGTACATGTAATAATATTTAATCATTTACCGGTTTTAGCAATAATCGTACCAAAACCTGTAGAGGTCGTACAATGTACATGTAATAATATTTAATCATTTACCGGTTTTAGCAATAATCGTACCAAAACCTGTAGAGGTCGTACAATGTACATGTAATAATATTTAATCATTTACCGGTTTTAGCAATAATAGTACCAAAACCTGTAGAAGTCGTACAATGTACATGTAATAATATTTAATCATTTACCGGTTTTAGCAATAATAGTACCAAAACCTGTAGAAGTCGTACAATGTACATGTAATAATATTTAATCATTTACCGGTTTTAACAATAATAGTACCAAAACCTGTAGAAGTCGTACATTGTACATGTAATAATATTTAATCATTTACCGGTATTAGCAATAAAAGTACCAAAACCTGTAGAAGTCGTATAATGTACTAATATTAAATCAGTCTGTTATTAAAGGTGGATCCACAACAGGGAATCCAAGTTTGAAATTGAAATATATAGTAAAAGTATGTAAAAATCTTCCTTAAGAGCCATTACATGTCCAGAAAAGCTGAAACTTATGTGAAAGCATCTTGGGGTAGTGTAGATTCTAAATTGCTCAAATCATGACCCCGGATGTATAAGGTTGGGCCACAATAGGGAATCATTGAAAACAACGAAACATGAAGAAAAAAATATTCCTGAGGTACTAGTGTAGGTTCTAAATTGTTCAAATCATTTCTGGGTAGGGTTGGGCCATAATTGGGAATCGTTATTCCACATTGAAACATACAGGAACAATATTTATAAATCTTTTCGAGATCCCCTGGACCAGAAGAATTGAAATTTATGGGGAAGCTTCCTGGGTTATTAATACAATATATGTCATTTTTTTAATAGATGAGTTTGGACAAATAAAAGAAAAAAAACTTACTATACCCCATATGCAATTAACGTTAAGATTCTTACATAAAAAGGAGTCCAGGCATAAAATGAAATACCATAAAGGATCACTACCTTTATGCCTGGACTTCGAATATGTACATTATACTACTTCTGTCTATATTTTATCCCTTCAGTCCGATCTTATTTTGTTTTCCAGGCAGTAAAGATGAAGATGGACCTCGTTTGTAAATGTCACGGAGTATCTGGATCATGTTCAATTAGAATCTGTTGGCAGAAAATGAAGGAATTCCGATCTATTGGAGCATTTTTGAAGGAAAAATTTGACGGTGCGAGCTTGGTGAAATATAACAAAGCAAAAAATAAATTAAAAAGAATTAGTAAAAATATGAAAAAACCAACGAAAAAAGACCTTGTGTATTTAGAGGAATCTCCCGATTTCTGTGATTTTCATCCTAAATCTGGGTCACTAGGAACCAAAGGGAGACAATGCATAAAAGACGGTTACGGATTGGATGGGTGTAATTTAATGTGTTGTGGGCGTGGTTACTATACAACTGTCGAGGACATTCGGGAGGATTGTGACTGTAAATTTGTGTGGTGTTGTCGTGTAGACTGTAAAACGTGCACACATAAAGTCGAAAAGCATTTCTGCAACTGAGGAAAATGGACAGGAATTCCAAAAAACTCCTAGTATTTTGATGATTTTGAAATAAACTTACCGGTTCCTTCAGCAGATTCTCATGGAGACAGGGCCAAGGAAGAGGACAGGGGAGGTAATCTGAGACAGTGCGCTTCCAGACTCACAGAAAACATTAAACATTTCTACTACAGCTGTATATTTACACTGCGGCAGATGGACATTCTTGAGAATGTGTGTTTCTTTTCCAGAATTCGGAGGATAACCGTATTGAATTCTCAGTATAGAGCCTTTTCACTGAAACTTACAAACAATAAAAGAAGTGAATAAATGCTTTTGCAGAGTTCAAAATACCAATCTTCGAAAAACTCGCTTGCTTTGAGTGACATAAAAAGAACATGTGAGTAGTTGATCAGGTTCTGTGTTTTTAACAGACTAAGCAGACGGCTTAGAAAACTTTGACGCGTATTGGAGTGTCTCGCTTAACACAGGTGACGTCATTAAACAGAATTTTGACCACGGGTACTAACTATATTTATTATTATATCTTTTATATGCTATTCTATTTCCTGTGGTGTGCATTTGTTTTGTTATATTTTTGTGGTTTTATTACATAACATTTATCTATATAATACTTCGTTAATAAATGAAGTATTAACAAAATCATCTTTGCTGTCTATGTTGTTAGTTCTAATGCATTGAACATTACTGTGTGATCAAACATTACAGTACTAGTATTTCCAGAGAGTGGGAACTGTTACCGAGTTGTAAATTTTGAATTTACTAGGTGGAGACGTTATGCAAAAGGTTATAGTAACCTCCGCTAGTAAATTCAACAACAGGAAATACCCTACTTCTTAGGCTAAGGTGCACAGCAATTAAAGAGAAAAAACAAAATGTGTTGCGATACCTTATATCTAAAAATGTGTTACTTGGAATTCATTTGCGCTTTACTAAAAAGAAAGCTGCTTTTTTAAACACTATTGGGTGATTGAATTATAAACATTCATAGACAATTCTGGAATAGAATCAAAGTAAAAATATTCACCAAAGCAAAGGATGTACACAAAATAATATCAAAGAGATGTCAGGCATTTCTTAGCGCATCGCCTTGGCAATCATTCACGGCACCCAAAGATTCCGATTTCAGCTTTACATGTGCTTATATTATTTTTACAAGCTTAAAAGAATCTCAATTTTTAGAGTTTCTTGTACACCTTTTTCTGAATGTCCGGAAACAGTTTAATCATTTTTAGACTGTTCAAAGCGCCTCCAAATCCTTTCTTTCACTTCAGTGGACAGTCCTCCAAGCCAGCCTTTTATCCCTTTTTCATTTGTTTACAAGTTAAGCTTCAATATACATAATGACTCGTAAAGAATTGAATTTTAACCTTCAGGGTACGAATAGTTTGTTATTTCTGCTGTCCATGAAATGGCCTTTCTTTCACCAGGCAGGTCTACATTGTTCGAGTGGCATACTTTGTCGAATTATCCGGGGAGATATTAGAGCTTTTAATTGTATTTAAAAAGTTATCCCGGGAAAAAATCACAGAACAAATAAAGAGAATCTCCAAATTTCTAGATAAGATGGTGTTCGCGTCAACGAAAGAAATGAAAAAATAACAAATCAAACATGAACCATTGCACATGATATGCTGTCATTTTGTAGGAAACCTTAGACAGCGAGGTTTTTTATCAAACTGCAACTGAATGAAAAATGATGGAAATCGGAAAAAATGCACGTGCTACCATTATTTTACTTATGCCAACGCACGTACATTTAGCAGCTTAATTTCTCGTGTCTTTAGAGTTGAATTCAGACGCAACAAGTTGCACTTGTTATTTGGGCATGTTTTGGAACATCTGTCTTCTAACTCTGAAGTCAAAAATAGATTTTCCCAATTGTTATCGCAAAGATTAATCGGGGGCCGAAAATCCCTCAATATACTTGTTAAGTGCCGAAACAGAAAATAAGTTTTATTATTTGGATGTTAAAGTTTACGGGCATTTATTTGATCTATGTGATGAAAATGACAGAATTATCTACTCCTGATAACTGCTAGGCTTCAATAGGCGTAAAATGCTTGTATAATTGTTGTATTGTCTGGAGAATCGATAGTGAAGACGGCACTGGCATATCTTGTAAAGGTACTATCGTGTATGAAATTATATACTGATAGCAATTCTTGCGCCCTTATTATGTAAATATATTACTTGCATATAAATACTGATACTTTGCCCTCGACTGTCCGTCTAGCTGTCCCTCCGTCTTCTGTCAGTTTCTCCCTCTCCAGTAGTTATCCGCGCGTTTTCCTAAATGCTTCAGATATTGAGATAATTTTTGGTACATGTAAGTGCAATGGGTGTATCTTGATAAGTCAAATTTGCATTTCGTTCCGTTTCAATGATTTTGACGGAATAATGACCTTTTCATTTTTTTTTTTAAGGTTTTACGCATTTTTTATTCCCGAAACACTCACAGATTTTGGACCTTTTTTGGTGAGTTTACCTTGAAAAGTTTGCATTTTGTTGTACTTCAATGATTTTTACGGGAAAATGGTATTTTTTATTTTAACGGGAACCATGCCGGTATGGGCCTTATATTGCGAATACTCTCAGAAGGCTTGCTCAGTTTGTAAGCACAACTGTCCTTGTTATGACACACTGGAAGTCAAATAGAAATAATTACAATTCAGTGCTTTCAGAATAAATATATGCACACCTCGATGACCTCGTATTTTTTAACCAAACTCATTTATTCAGTATTAAGGGGATGTATTTAATTCCTGGCAGGTGACTGACTTGAAAGAGTGCTGTCCCTTTGAGTTTTCTTTATAGCGTGTTCATACGATCAAATCGCACCGGAACAATATTATTAAATTCTCCACAATCATTCCAATAACAAATTTCTTTTAACCAATAAAACTGAACACAACTGATGTGCAAATATTGACACACAGCCTTTGTATTATCGCTCCTTGATACTCTTTGTTAAAGTCAAACTTTAAATCTACATGGACACTCCGATAGAATTAAGCGTAATCGTGACCTAGGGCATCGATTGGTCCATGATTGGTTTTCAAGATAAATTGGTCTTTAATTAATTTCAAGAGAATTTATTTCTGTCTATCAATGGGAAATTATTGCTGTTTGTCGCCTGGTCCTGATCCTTATGATAGTCCTGGATGAATTTAGTGTTAGCTTTGCAACACTCAAAGTCACAATTAACGCTAATCTACCAAACACAGGATATGGACATTAGGTTACACCAATTTAAAAAAAACAAAAAAAAACACGAAGTTTATTTTGATAAATTTTCTATTAACATTATAAAACTTGTTGAATTTTATTTTGTCACAAAGGAGAAATATGCATTACAAAGAATTTTGACAAAATGACGTCATCCTTGAAAAGCAGGATAATATTAATTTCACTTCTCTGTGCTTCAGCATTCATCCCTCCATATTTATCAGCCGCATGATAACCTCGATGCTACCCTTCATTTTTGTAACCATCTTAAGTGTTGGGATCCTGAAAACAAATCCGAGAAATTAGAACTTTTTATGAAGACAAGCGCTAAATTATCTTTGATTTCAGTTTATAGCTTTATGTTTTTGTAATATGATATGAAGACGATTTTGAAGTTCGCTCAATCGTGCAAGCCCGTCCGACCCTTCTTGGCAAAAGCAGCTTCATTCCTCCTCTAATTGCGTCGGAATTAAACTTAAAAGGATTGTAAATTGTTAGCGGATTAGGGAGACTAACCACAGATTGTTTACGGTTTAAAATAGTTTCAACCTAATGCATTTGAAAACTTTGTTTCTGTTTGTCTTCATTAACTAAAGGCAATTAAATTTAAGTAAAATATCATAGTGTTTTAGGACTTTGTGAAAACTTAGCAAGGTTTCCTGTCCAGTATAACCACCCCCCATATAAAAGTAAATGAAATGAAAAATGTGAAGATAACAAAATTGATCGATCTCATTTAAGTCCTGCTTACAATTCAAGTCAGGGCACAAAACGGACCCCCAGGAAAGACCAGAGGTGGGGTCAGGTGCCCGGGAGGATAGGGCATCCCTTGCCGACCGGTTACACCCACTTGTACCTTCTGCACGATCGGTTAAAAGAAGTAATCCGTCAAAATTAGTGTAAAAAATGGCTAGATTTAAACAACTAATATAAAATATATCAGTCGAAATACGATCCAAAGATAGGTTATATCTGCAAATAAGGTCAAGTAAATAAAATTGCGATTTTATTAACTTTGAACGAAACTATTGAAAGTCCTGCCACATTAACTTATTTGTTAGTAAATTGTATTGGATTAGAAATGTCATATTGCGTAGTGAATCTATAAGGGGTCATAAATACTATATGCAGGACAGTCAGGTAATACTGAGATTTTACTGTATAAACAGAGGAAGCCAAGGCATCCTCTGTCTTGACGTTTGTCGTTTAGTTCAGTCGCACTCATACTTATTTCTTGTAGGATAAAAACTATTTGTTATAAATTTCACCCATCAGTTTGAATTCTCATTTAGATGACGTATCTGCATACAGAAAGATACAAATACTTCCTGTTTGATGCTTATCGTTGAATTGACTTCAATTGAAAATATCAGAAAGCAGAAAGTATTTTAGATAAGCATTGCCGATTAATAAAGAATCTCTGCTGCCTGTTCAATAATTGATTTCTAAGTTTTAATTCATATTTTATTCGAAACTATATGTCTGAGTCCTCTCTATGACGAAAGCCTTGAGAGGTTTCATGTCTTGAGACCGAGATTTATACGTGTGACTTTCATAGAACAACTTTGAACAAACAACCTGTATACTTTGAGGAAAGAAGATGCGTTAGAAACACTGATGCCCCCGTATGGCAGCTCATGGTGAGGATTGCAAGGTAAACTCAAATGTCAAGGTCAAAATTGTTGATACCAGAAGGATGATATTCTCAGAAGGAATACATCTAATGAATATAGAAGCCCTCGAACTAACGATTCAAAAGTTATGACCAAGGTTAAAGTTAATTTAAGTGGGCCATCACTCAGGTCAAGGTCAAAATTGTTGATATTCAAAGTAAGGTCTTGTCACAAGGAACAGACCTGGCCTAAGGATCATGAAACAAACTTATACTTAAGTCAAATTTTCAAAAGCCTTTAAAATGTTTATCAATATGGTATTTATTTCTATATTTGCAGATAACAACACCTCTGTGAAATAATAGTGGAAAATATTTTAATTTTGGTCTGCTTGACTTCTACAACATTTTATAATTAAATAAAGATTTCGATTTAAGCTTAATATGTTTCATGATCCTGAAGCCTGTAAAATATGAAAGCCTTATTACTAACGGTTCAAAAGATGTAGTTAAGGTTAAAGTTCAAAAGGTCAAATATTTCTACACGCAATGAAAGGTCTTTTTGCAGTGAACACACATGTGAAGAATGAAAGCCCTAGCCCAACTATTCAAAATTATGGCTATGGCTTAAGATTTTTCGGGTAAAAGTGGGTCATACTCCAAGGTCAAGGTCACGAAGTCAAATTTGATTGTACCAAAAGAAAGGTCTTATCACAAGGAATACACCTGTGAAATATGAAAGCCATAGCCCTACCCATTCACAAAGTTATGGACAAGGCTAAAGTTTTTGCGGACAAACCGACGGAAAGGGCAAAAAGTATACACCCCCGAAAAAATAAAGTTAAAAACAAATATTGCCACAGAAAGAGTTTGGTTAACTTTGTTAGTATATTTGTTTTATAAGTATACAGATGTTCGGAGTTTATCTTATACCTATCCTCGTACTTTTAACGTTATTAGATTTAACTGAAGACTGCAAGTCCATCAGAGTTTCTTTTTCTATCAACAATTTGCATTCTGACATTTTTATATCACCGATATTGTAAATATTCTTCGGATCTCCTCCGCCATCTTTCTTTTCTCGTGTCAATTTCTGATTGAATTCAAACATCGACAGCAGACGATCACATAAATGTCAATTCCGCTTTTTTGCATCAGAAATGACAGAAAACACTGGACCTGTGAAGATCGCAGTCTATGTTTAGCTCCGTGGCAAAAGTGATGCTGGAACACTACTAATAATTACCCTTGTCGTTTTATTTTCACCGAGATATACGACAACTAATAATTTTTCATGTCAGAAAACAGAAGTAATTTTGATCAGATTCGTAGTTTGTTAAACCAGTGGAAGTACATCTACTATGAGATAAAAGATTCGTCTAAAACGCTGTTTGAGATATGTCTTGTTTGGGTTTCAGTCTAGCACGGTCGATTTTATTTGAACTTATGCGCAATGTGTGTACCTTTTGTTTATAAACTTTTTCTACGCGACAAAAAGATAGCATGTAAAATGGCACGAGACCACAAAGTAGACGATAAAATAGATATTTATTTATGTCAGTCACTTAGAGTACCGGTGCATCATTACACCTTGGCAAATTTAACAAGTGTCACGTCTCTTTTGGGGGTATCCTGACTAGCAACCTGTATATGTATGACGTCGTCGTCGGACACCTAGCACCTGCTGAGCAGGTCTATGGGCAATATCACAAATCTGTACACCTCCTATTATTACAACTAGCTGGCATTTTGTGGTTATACATCAATTCTAGTGGTACATGTCGTCTATGATGAAATCCAGTTTTAATTCACCAACTTTGGTCGCGTTATAGACTTTTAAAGACGTTTCCAAAAAAATATTATACCGGTCTGGAATTCAGCGTTCGTATTAATGTCAGTGAGACATCCTTGTACACAGTATTCTTTAACTTTTGGGTTCAAAGCAAAGACTGCAATTTTTCCTAGGAAAACTCCGCTATATCGCAATACTATACGGAGGAAATCTTTACGAAACAAAAATTGAAAATTGCTTTTAAAATAGTATTTTTTAATCAATTTAAAAGTGGACATTTGTAAAGGTAACACTCATATGAACAAGAAACAATTGACAGCACTAACCAAAATTTAAGGAAAAAAAAAAACAAAACAAATTACAAGCCAAAAAAAGGCAGCTTATTTGTGGAGGTTTCAATCTGTATTATCATTGATATTTTTTTAAATTCAAGTGAAGATAATATAGCACTGGGAAGTCGTTCCACAATCATAACAAAAAAAAAAAAACATTTCAATGGCATGTAGATAACAAACACACATAACATATTTATGCACAAAAAACAACCTTCCATAATACTGCTAGGGTTTCTATTATGCTTACAAATAATACAATACTAATAAAAAAAATCTCATATCACAAAGTAAACATTCACATTTGAAAAGCCAATGTTAATACTGATGTTTGCAAAATTTTAATACATCAAAAAAAAAAATATATTAGAAATCTGGCAAGATGTGCAGATTTTAATACTTAATTGAGCATTTAAAAGTCATTTTAAATAAATAACAATATTGGAACCTTTGAGTCATACTGACTAATGTTACCATTAAAGTAAGAGGTGTTCTTTTACAGCATACAAATCAAACGAACACTTAATGTTTCACGATATAATCTCATCTCTAACACCTCTGTAAAATTATCAAAGAAAGCTTAGAAAAGTTTATAAATTGCTCATACCTCTCGATCATTGATTTCAATTAGATAAGAATACTATAAACTTATATGTTATAATAATTTTCCCTTGAGATCAAGGTGTACTTTCCTGATAGTTATCTGCTTTTTCTACTCTAAATAAAAGCAATATTGCATAAGTGTTCATAAAAAAATGTGAGGAGGGAAATTTTAATTACTAATATATTCTTCTTTAAAGTTCTACAAAGCAGAGTGACGCTGGCGTAGAGTACACAAAGAAAGACAACTCTCAGACGATTTCGTCTTACACGATTTTCAGGGTTCCGAGAGGAACGGAACTCTTCTGCAGTCTTTGGGAGTCGTAAGCGTATTTTTCTGAAGATTTGGGGGTAAACATCACCTGGTGGGTCGTGTTATGGAGTTGAGGACCTCCCAATGGCGGCAGAATGTGTGACATCTTCAGCTAAAATTGGAATGAGTTATTAATTAAACACAGCGAATTCCTTAATGAAGCCATCTCATGCACATTCACCAGACGCAACTTATTTTTCTTAATTATACAGTTATATTACAAAAATTAACCCTGGTCCATGCCTTATTATACACTTGTGTTTTACAAGGTATGAGGTTAATTTTTTTTTCATAAACTAAAAACAAGTTACGTCAGGTGCCCGTGACCTCAATCACGATATCTAATCTCGCCAGCCTCAAATAAGAATCGGTATTTGAAAACTTCAACTTCAACGTGGATACTCGCGAAAATCCAATGAGGACATTAATCAACGAGGATTATGTACCTGAACCTTTAATTGATATTTTTTCCTTAAGATATATCTTAATTTCTAAAACAACAGGGGGCGTAACTTACATGTATATAATATAATAATATTTACCTAGCGATGTCTAATTACATGATTTACAGAATACGATCATTGTATTGCTTCTATGAATGCTATATAGAAAACTCTTGCAATATATGAAATATATAATGACAAATTTAAGTTTATTTTGCTAAAAAAAATTCCATTGTCTATCCAGGAAGGGGTCATATCTTACGAAAATATAGATTCCGCCCCTTACCAAGAATCAGGAATGCATGAGTTAATTTATCGTAGACAAACGAAATATCTTTATTTCCATCAAATCTCTACCTCGTATTGACAATCAGGTAACATTTGATTTATCAAAAAAGGAGTGAATTGTGAAATGAAGACGAAGTTCCTTACATTTTCCAGGGCGGGTTTATGGATATTCATTCTTCCTATCCGCGGATCTCTGTAGTCCATATACGACGATGTGTGTTTGACCTCATTCTCTGAAACGGAACGAAGGAATTTTATTCAGAATCTGGAAACAAAAGAAACAGATACCTGTTTATATTTACACGTAATTACTTACTGTCGTAATAATCCATGGGAATGTTGGTCTCTGTGTGGAACTTCGTACGATCGTAAGTATACGGAACATCGGCGGGCTTGAAGGTGCTCCGAGTGGTAGTATCATAGAACGTCTTAGTCAGAGGAGGCTCCTCGAACTGAACGTTACTCTTTGTCCTTAGGTTTGCTCCAGAGATGATCCGATTGTGTAATCCTAGGGGTGGCTGAAACGATAAAAATTCACAATGCCAGTGTTAATTAACGCAATAACAGTGAAATTATATTGTAATGGTGAAAAAAAACGCGAAAAAACGCGAAAACAATGAGAGATGATGGGTATACATTTAATGAAATGTTATGGCTACAAAATTGTGTTACAAAAATTTTCTACTCTACCAAATTATTTACTTTTTTCTTTTACCCTTAACCACAGGAAAGCACGGGTGTTTGTGGACAGAACCCCTCCCCCTTTTCCCTATATACACCCAGGATTAGGTAGAAGAAAAGTATTTTATAAAGAATCTTAAACGTTTATTCTGTGTTAATTCAAATTTTTTTTCATATGGAATATACATTATGTAAAGTAAATGTGTTCTAGAAGAAAATTAAAATGTCTTTGGAAATTGGTGTATATTTTGTAAACTTTTTACTACCGTTTTAAATCAAAGATTGTTAAAATGGTCGAATGAAAAGTATGTTATTTCAGATGCACAATTTGGATTTCAGCCTAAACGTGGAACAGCTGAAGCAATATTTTGTCTACATACAATAATTAATCAATCATTAAGAAAGAAAAATAGGCTTTATTGTTGTTTTATAGATTATACAAAAGCATTTGATACTGTTCAACGCGCACAATTATGGCACAAACTTAGTTTGTATGGAATTAAGGGGAAATTACTTGGCATTATCAAGTCAATGTATTCTAGTATGAAATGTTGTGTAAAATATGCAGGAATGCTATCAGAATTATTCAAGAACAATAACGGACTTCTGCAGGGAGAAGTTCTGTCTCCTATTTTATTTTCTTTATATGTAAACGACTTTGAATTAGAGTTTTTAAAACAAGGAAATGTTCCGGTTGATTTACAAGAATTGAATTTATTTGTTTTAATGTATGCAGATGATATGGTCATTTTTTCAGAATCGATAGATGAACTTCAAAGAATGCTAAATACATTATATGATTATTCTACGAAATGGAACCTGTCTGTTAATATATCGAAAACAAAAATTGTTATTTTTAGAAACGGAGGTAAAATACGTAAGGAAGAAAAATGGCATTTAAATGGTGAACCAATTGAAATTGTTGACCAATTTATATATCTCGGTGTACTTTTGAATTATAATGGAAAATTTAATAATACACAAAAACAGCTGGCAATCCAGGGTAGAAAAGCAATGTTTTCGATGAAATCAAAAATCAACCAAATGTGTCTAAATACTGAGACAATGTTTTCACTTTTTGATACTTATGTTGCAAGCATATTGAATTACGGTTGTGAAATATGGGGGGGGGGGGGGACACAATGCTAGTGATATTGAAAAAGTACACTTGGACTTTATTAAATATGTTTTAGGTGTTAGAAGGAGCACAAATACTGCCATGATTTATGTTGAAACTGGTAGACTGCCTATGAAAATTGTTCGCATTTTTCGCATTTTTAAATTTTGGTTCAAGCTGTTAAAAACTGACAATTGTATTTTGAAAATGTGTTATGAATATTTGTTCAATGAATGTGAATATTCCGGCAGACACTCTGATAATTGGGTTGTAAATATCAAACAAAAACTTTATGAGAATGGACTCGGATTTATCTGGCTTGAACAAGACAAAGAAATGATTTGTAAACAATTTCCTGTAATCAAACAAAGAATAAAAGATAATTTCATACAAAATCTCATGGCAGAAATTAATTGTTCAACAAAATGTATTTTTTACAGACACATTGTAGATTATTTAACCTTGCAATATTATTTAAGAAAGTCAATACCTAATCTTTATAAAAAAACAAATAAGTAGAATAAGATTGTCTTCCCATAACCTTGCAATTGAAACTGGCAGGCATAGAAATATTGTAAAGGAATTTAGATTTTGTGAATTTTGTAAAAATATCATAGAAGACGAATTTCATTTTGTTTTAATTTGTCCCCTTTACAAGGACGTGAGAAGTAAATATATCAAAAGTTATTACTGGAAAAAACCATCCGCATTCAAACTAGTCCAATTATTGAGTGTACAAAATTTTTCTGAGCTGTGTAAGTTAGGTAAATTTTTGCATTTAGCTTTTAAGTTAAGAAATGAAAAGATGTGATCCATTCTTCGTTTGTCCAATCGTTATATCAGTATATTTATTTACATTTATTATGTGAGTCAAATTTGTTATATTTAATGTATAGACGCGCCATACCAAGTGACTTCATTAAATAAACTAGGCGCTGCTTTTTCATGTATTGATACCATACCATACCATGCCAATCTGTTTTTTCTCTTAATTATATTTGTAATAATGTGATAATACGTATGTATTAAGCAATAAAGAATAATAATAAAATAATAATATTCGGCCCTGTCCACAAGTACCCTTGCTGTAAATGTGCAGAATGTGAAAAAATAAACATAATAAAATTGAACTGATTAAGAAACTTAAATTTCATAATTAAAATTTTAAAACTAACTATAGAGTTAGTAGTTCTGAACGTGTCGGAGCGATGGAAGTTGTCGGAATCACTCAATATGAATCGGTGCGCATGCTCTCTACACAGAAATCATTGTACTAGGCCTAACCTTTTGTTATCGAATCAGTATATTTTTCTTCTTTATCTACATGTAGCCTAGCTGCAGATCTGTAGCGTTATGGTTTTATATATTTGTCTTTGTTATGGTCAAAGACAAATACATGTATATAAAACCATAACGCTACAGTTCTGCAGCTACATGTAGCCTACAGTTTTCCAGTGTTATTTGTGTTTCACGATTGAACACAAAAATATTTAATTTTAACACCAAACACATAAAGATTATCTCTTTCTTCATTTTAATAGTAATATAAAAATTCTCTTCCCAAATCCCTATACCGAAATATCAAATACTTTGTTCAACGAGTTTGATATTGAGCGATTCCTTGACTAGGAATAAATTAAAATACATGTACTAGCTAAAATGAGCTACACTGTAACAATGTAAATACTTAAATAGAGTATATTCCTCCTGTACTGAAAGCTGGTACTAGTATATACAGAATATTGCTGTAGGATTTCTACTGACTCTGTATCCTTCAACATATGTATAGCTTTGTCTGAAGGAGATGTTCCATACCTAAAGCTATGATCAGTTAATAGTGAACTACTAAAGAGATTTAAGTTTCTTTGCGTTGGAAATACTTACAGACATGTGGGTCGCTGTAAAACAAAGATTAATTAACAAAATCTCAGGACACTAACATACCAACAACAGATAAAGGTGAAGTAGGTGGACATAAGGGTTCAGTAAAAACCGAATATTTTTAAATATAAATATTATGGTTAGGAAAGAAATGTGAAAATATTTCAGGTCGCTTTAAAATACATGTAAAAGATTATATGTATAATTCAGTATTAGACAAACATTTGTAAGGATAAAATACACATACTAGTATCTTGATTTAAAACATTTTTAAGACATGAAAGACTGACGACGCCAGAATTGGGCCACTCAGGGGGAAAACACCATTAGTTAAACACATAAATGTTTAAAATAAAATCATAGACTTAGAAGTGTTCTAGAAATAGAGAGCCATGCTGCCTGATTTTTTTTTATTTAAAATCCTTTGTAAATATAGCAGAATTATACTTCTCAAGGTAAAACCATGTAATGGATTTTACAGGTAATTTAGTATTTATCTTTCTGCGTATCGCTCCGTAAATTAGATTTTTGTTAATTCATTAAAGTTACATATAATATTAGAAATTATTTTTTTTACAGAGGAAAGGAAATTTTGGATAATTGTAGACAATATTTGGTATACATTACCCGAGTCTTAAAAGGGTTTAACTGCAAGATTATTCAGATATAACAAAGCGTTTTTTTTTTTTCACATTAACATTTGAACTTTATATAAAAGTTTTAAACGTTGGCAGTACTTATTTATAATAAATATATTTCATCTGAAATAAGAAACTGTTGCAATTCACAGCATTTGCGTTGCCCACTTCAAATAAAGCAAATTTATTTGGAATCTGTGGTTTGTACTTACGTTGCCATGGTAAAATCGTGACGTCGTCATGTTGACCCTTTCAGTGACCCTGGATTCCTCGAGGTCACCCTCTGGGAAGTCACTGTGATTTCGATGTTTTCCAGGTCGGTATCTCTCAACTGAATTTTTGGAATAAAATAACTGTATTATTAAAGGGGAAAATTTAAAAGTTACACAATATTCCACGTACTTTTAATAAGTAATGATCACTTGTGGATTTAAAGGGGACCCAATCAACCTCCTTTTGTGTCCAAAATATACATAAGAATCATGTGCGTGTGTAGCTATGGGCCCCTAACCCGAGCCCCTTTTCAAGAAAGGCTTTAATTTTTATGAAAGCATCACAGTACTGAGAATACTCACACGTGGTGGATGCTGGCTGGAAGGAAACACTGGCTGTACTCAGATAATCGTTATATTTGCCATGGCCGTCCTTCTCCTTGAAGTTAGTTTTGCCGAGGTAAGCGCTGACTGCTGATTTGCAGTACGGCTTGGTTTCGCTCTTGTCGCTAATGAAGGGGAAAGTCGCCTGCATGGTGGTATCATTAATGGTGACCTTGCCCGGATCTCCGACCGGAATGTTGTAGCCATACGGCTAAAAATAATATTCAGAAATTTGACTTGATGAAAACTTTCTTGAAAAAAATTCTTTACTCTATTACAAATAATTGATTGTCTGGAAATTATTGATTTTTCCTGCATATTTCAATACAAAATTGAAAGCATTTTAAAATGAAATCTTCATATATCGGTCAATGAAAATCCATCATTCAATAACATAAAATACGATGTAATCTATTTTTCGTTTTTAGTTTGGTAGAACAAAATTAATAAGGACGTTTTTAAAGAACACAAAAAGCAATCGAAATTAATTTATGAATGATAGAAACCATACTAAAAACGGATCAACAGGATAAAATCAATACAAAAGAAACACACCGCTGGTAAAGTCTGCACAGGATTCTCCCACTTGCCTTGGAACTGGTCATTATGAGACGTGTTAAAGTTTGTCAAGCGATCGTCTCCCTTTACCGTGGGCGGTCCGCCTTTAATATATAAATAAATATCTAAGTTTGAAAACTAGCACTTTCCTTCTTTCAACAACAAAACATTCTATGAAACATGCAACGAAAATTACCTTCATGCATAGATGGCGCTCTGTGAGTGACGTGCACTGATGTATCGTGACCCATAAACCTTTCGCGATAGTCTGAGCAGGGTTCTGCTGCTTTCTCGGGATCTCCTTGAGGAATATGACTGACAGAGGTGCTAGTGGCCGGCTCGACGCGTTGGTAAGCAGGTGTAATCTTGGGCTTAAAATACGAGGTATGCATGGTCTCAAAGACATCTACTTTACTCACATCAGTATCCATCTTGAAGTTAGTTGATCGGAGCTTTTGGTGAATATCATCTAAAGCAACTGGTTTTGGTAGATATCGGTATTCAAACGCTCGAACGGTTTCCGATGCCTTATCCTTGAAGAACTTGTCATCTCTCGTCATAACTTCGGCCAGTTTTGGTCGCTCGGACTCCTTTTCGCGACCATAATGTTGGTAAGGCGGATAGTCTTTCTTGAAGATACTCTGCATGGATCCCTCAAGGACAGACATGTCCTGAGCCACCTTAAAATTGGTGGAGGCCAGGAAATCTGACCCCGTTTTGGGATTTGTTAAGGGGACCGCCACAGACTGTGACATAATTCTGAAATACAAGTTTTACAAGTGCTTCTTGAGTTTTGATTAAATGCTCTTTTTATGAATTTTTAAAAATATATACATGTATATTAGATAAATTGAAGGATTAAAACAACAAGTCATAAAAATTTCTAGTTCCTTTCCTTACTTCTTATTGATTAAGATAATAAAATGTATAAATAATTGTTGTACATGTAGTCCTCATTCCATAGTTTAACATGTACCCTCACATACTGCACGAACATGGTATCGTTCTTTTCTCCAAAACTGACCATTTATTATTGAAAATGTTCATTAAAGAAATAGCCCCCCTTCCCATCATCATCAAGTTTTGTTGCAGTATAGTCAACATGGTCAAAGCGTTCCTGGCAATCTTTAGAAATAAAATCCGTATGTAGAAAAAAAAAAGCAGGATCAGTCCCCAAATAGGAACTTAAAGTTATGGACAACTCCCCCTTGTTTGCATCTTTTGTAAGCCAAGCCCCTTTCATTTTTCAAAAAACGATATTACATGCCTGCAGAAGCTGTGAGATATGTTTCAGAGGTTGTTTTTATCAACATCACACTTCATTTATTAATTTGCTACGCGATATATTTCCTAAACCATTACATAATTTAGGTAATGATGACTACACACACTGTTGGATGTTTATCTTTTTTGGAATTGTTCAAATTTACCTTTGAGTTTAAATCTCTTTAACAAAAAACATTGATCCAAGGCAAGTGGAAGTTTTTGTATATAATTTCCATAGCTACATGCTACTTCCGGATTGTTGGTTTTGGATAGGGCTTTCAAAATTGCTTTGTAGAATAGCCAGTTTAGAAAAAAATAACATTTTTTTCTCAGTTTTATTAGTTTAGGTTAAAGAAAGCAAATGTTAAAAATAACAATAAGAACAGAGTGCTGAAAAATTGTTTTAAAAAAAATTATACGTACGATCTACTACAGAAAACTCAATGTTGCGCTCTTTTGTTTATGAAAACCACAAAAGCTCTGTAAATTTGCCAACATGAATTTGCCAACATGGCGTCAAGAACAGAATTAAATTTCAAGAAATTACTAAGTAGGTGCGAAACGATGGCAAAGGACAGAAATTCTGGAGAGTGGAGATTTGAGAAAGTAAGACCTAATACTTTCATTGCAAAAAAAATGTTAATGTGGTTTTCTGTAAGTGAATACCTGGAATTTTCTTAAATTATTCAGACCTGCCATATGTTTCCATTACTAACTTAAAAAAGGTGTGTTTAAGGACAGATAATACAAACAAACTTTTGTCAAAAGATATGAAATCAACAACTTGAGTCATGTTTTAATGAGTGAAATGAATAACTTTCACCGCGTAGCTTTTATTTTATAAAATATATACAAATCCAGGCAACCATTTTTTGTTTGTACCTTCTGTCCTTAAAACGAAACTAGACTTCATTGATTTTTTTTATTTTAAAGTTGTACCACAAAGGGTTTTCTTACAAGGTTTTATTACAATAATGTTTTATTTTTTTCAGTATGTAGAAACTCTGCAAGATTTACTGAGTGAAATGAAGAGGTCTCGAGTCAGGTTTGAAACTAAGCTAAGACTGATTGAAATTTATTTCAGTGAAATACATATAATTTGAACAAATTTTGATAAAAAGAAATATTTCTTTAAAGACATTACTTTTTTGAATTTTAGCCGCCCTCCTCAAAAAAACCTTGATGAGTACACTGAGAAATTGGTGTACCTGAAAGAGCTGGTGGAATCTGACAAAGGGGTAAATTTTTTAATGATTTGAAAGAAAATTGAACGTGAGTAGCTGCAAAACTGTAGCTCTCTGCTTGAGAAAAATCAGACAGATAAAGCAAAGAGCTACAGATCTATGCATTGTAAAAACCTTTGATTTACAACGACAATTTCTTAGCTCCTTTCAGGAATTATTTCTTGTAGTTTATGTTTTTTTACGCTCTTAGAATGATATCTGATAATTAATTATACATGTGACTCTAATAATTGATAGTTTATTTACCTTTCAATGGTCCTAAAAGTTCTCTATGGATGTGGAATAGATTCCCTTTTTTACGTCTCCTTCCTCACACGGCCCTTCTTGATCCGTTGAAAGGTAAATAAACATTTAGAAATAGGAGTTAAATGTATGATTAATTATGGGGTATCATTTATAAAGCTGGGAAAACTAAAAATATAAGAAATAATACCTGAAGTGAGTGACAAAAAAAATCTGCGACCTAAATCGAAGGTTTTTACAACGCATGGATCTGTGGCTCTCTGCTTTATCTGTCCAAATTTTCCCAAGCAGAGAGCTACAGTTCTGCAGCTAGGAAATGATTGAAAATCATCAGCGTTTCTACCTGTCAAATCTCTTGTCCTGTTTAATGACAAATGTTGAATGCCAAAGTTTTAAAACCAGGAAATTAGTAAACATGGTCCTCTGTAAGCCTCCCTAGCTGGCTGTTTTAAAATCTGTCACAGAGCTGTGTTTTCGCAATCACTCTTCAATCTCTTAACC